TTTAATAAAATTTAATAATTTAATTTAACCTTTTGAAATAAAACAATAATTTATTATTCCACTTGCGCTTGTTGGATATGAGATGATTATAGCCAACTTGGTGCTATGCGCCTTGTTGGCTATCAATCATCTCACATCCAATGCACGCTCGTGGAATAATTGTTAAATGTGTTGCCTGATTGGCGTATGTTTTTTTTTAATTAATTTTTTGACCCCTAGGACTGCCTATAGCCTCTAAATTCTCCATAGAATCGCATTATTGAATAAAGTCTCATTTTCTGTTTGGTTAAAGAATTGAGATATTTAACATGGAATTGTGAGGTCGAGTTGAAAACAAGGCTTATGTGCTATTGTTTTGAATGTATGCATATATAATATAGCTATAAAAAAAAAAAGAAAAAGTCTTTTTATAGGATTACACAATTACTGGTGAACCAGTAGTGTCCATTGTGGTCCTTGCAAACAAATGAAACAAATGGGCTAAATTGAACATAACATCATTAAGAACCCAAGCGGCAAACCAGTTGGCTATTTACAAGTGTGGCCAAGGATCTGAACTCGGGGCTACCGTGAAACAGATCCAGTGGTCAGGGTGGGACTCGAACCCGGGAGCGGCAGATTACAAGTCCGACACTCTAACCACTCAGCCACACTGCCTCCTAAATTCTATAAGCAGGGCTGTTTTGTTTTTTTTCTTGTTTTTATTTATTTTGTGATTCAAGGAAAATCCATTGCTTTTCTCATGAATTCTGTGTTAGATTGCACTTGGAAACGGTTATTGCACTCATTACTTTGCAATTCCTTTAATATCGGTTTTCGGGTGCAATTTAATGCGGAAATCCCTCGTCAAGTAATGAATTTTCCAATACATTATATCACCCCTGAATTAAACATTAAGGTCACAAGAATAAAGGAATTAATTGCAAACCCAAGAGAACTTTCATAGAGATAGAATTAATTTAAAGGGATAAAAGTGCAGCAAATGAAAATGTTCTTACCTGCACTATAACCAATATTACCCTAACTATCTGTTTCTTTCTGAATGAACATTCTAGGGTGTGGCATGCTGTCAACAATTATCACCAACACCACAACCAGACTGCACCTCTATTAACCTGAAAATGTCTTTCTTTTGTTTTTCATCAGGTGCCTTCAGTTTGACATCATTAGGAATCTTTTTTATTTGTTTCTACTTCCTGGCATGTTGGACATATGGAGCAAGTGTTCCTAGTGGTCTGTTTGTTCCTTGCTTACTATGTGGTGCAGCTTATGGCAGGTTTATTGGTGAGCTCTGCAGGTAAAAACAACCCTTCTCTAGAACTCATCTTGACTATCATCTCCTTTCTTATCAATAATTGTACCCACTAATGCATAAAAGAGGTGACACCATAAAGGGTGGCATCACCACTTTGGTGCTTGCATATAAAATTAGTTGTTTTTAAACCAAGGTGAGCTCATATATTGTGGGGAACACAGTGGCTTGCTAACTGTAAGCATGTGAGACTCTGGGTGGGGAGGGCGAGGCTGGGACCAGAAGAACAGACCTGGCTGGGGCAACGTGTTGTGTACCAACATACTGCCATGAAACCCTAACAAATTGTTGGGAGGGGAAACCTTTTTTTAGTACCAAAATGTAACTCCTTTATAAACACCCTTCCAAACCTTAAAAGCCACTTTGACAAGATGCTCATGAACCTTTAGTAAGAATAGTTATAACTTAATTGATTTTTCTGGATATTTAATTTATGTACTTAAATGTATTTGACCATTTTTATTTTATTATTGAGCCAGGCTACTGGGATATGAGCACACTTACCATGGGACGTTTGCACTGATTGGAGCAGCATCTTTTTTAGGCGGAGTGGTGCGCATGACCATCAGCTTAACTGTCATCCTGATAGAGTCAACCAATGAGATCAGTTATGGCCTGCC